ATTGTATTAACCGTTGCCTAATTATAATGTCTTTTTTTTTTATTCCAACATGTAATCACCAGACGTGGTGACGACACACTCAAGTTTTTTCAACTTATATTAATGCCGCCACCAACACAGGGGACAAACACATGACAGGACAATACTCATTTACACCTGAGCGAAGTGAGGAAAGTCGTGTAAAGTGCCTTTCCCAAGGGCACAAGATCGGTGGCATGTCAGGACTCGAACCCGGGACTCTAAGTTCCGAGTCGCGCACTCTGCCGCTACGCCAGACGACCCCACAATGAATATTGACCCCACAGTGAAATTATAATGTCTGCACAGTAGGTCTGGCGTTGACGCTTGGGATTTTATTGAAATATATAAAACGGAGGATTGTCACCTATGGCTTCTTGTTTTAGTTGTATGTTACTTCATATTATAGTTATATCAATGTAAATCATTGTTTTCCCTTGTGTTTCTCATTCTTTCCCTGCCATGTCGTAAAATGTGGTGAACCCATCGCTGTATTTGCTCCAAGCAAATATTGGCCTTTCTAGTTTATATCTGTTATTGTCAGTCTTACTTTTTTCTTTCAGTGGTGGCGTGAAAATTAACATCTCGCTAGAGTGCGATACCACTGTGTTTTTGTACTGTCATGTTGTCTAATAAAAAAAGTTGGAATACTTTCAAAGTAGGTCATATCAATTCTTTGACCCTTTTCTTCAAGACCAACTAAATATGTATATGTCAGAAGGGAGATTGGAATCCAGGGGGATCCAGAATCCTCCTAGGGGAGATTGGAATTCCTTTTTCCCCTAGGAGAAAGTTTAGGTGTGAAAAGATTCAATCTAAGAGTTCTAGTATTTCTACAACTGAATTGGGATCTGAATATCAGGATTTCAATCTCTCCTAGGAGGATTCCAGATTCCCCTAGGAGGATTCCAGATTCCCCTAGGAGGATTCCAGATTCCCCTAGGAGGATTCCAGATTCCCCTAGGAGGATTCCAGATTCCCCTAGGAGGATTCCAGATTCCCCTGGATTCCAATCTCCCCTGTGACATGTACATGTTGACACCATAATTGAATTTCATTATGACCCGTACAGGACTGGATAGGGAACAAGAAGACCAAATTCAGAAAGCAGAATGCCGGGCCCTCGACTTCAAGTTCACCCTCCACATCTGCCGACGCCGACACCTTCTCCATCACCAGGCAGAGAGCCATTAGTGGATACAATCTGTTCAAGAGGGAGTTTTTCAGAGGTAACATTTAACAAATGAGTGGTTGTACCCAGGCTGGTAGGCCATATTTTAAGTGCATATAATGATGTATACTTAGTCTAGTATAATCAATAAGGAGTGGATGGCAATGCAGCATTATACATGTACATGTGTGTAATGTCGTTTATTTTTGTTTGTTGTGGATTCACTTGCTATAATTCTCTTAGCTAGCACAATGTATCTATAGAAGTATCACATGAACCAGACACTGTATCGGTGACCCCTTATCATTAACTGTTGTCCAATTGCTAGCAGGTGGGACATCAGTAATATACTTTGTTTTCCCTTTACTTCCTATTCATTTTCATCAAAATGATGAGAACATGCAATGGAAAAGAGAGATCGAATGTCAATGAAGGTTAGACATAAAGGTACATGTACTTAGTAATATGATAGCCAAAACTACATTTATCCAATTGTTTTGAGTAATTGTGTTTTGGATAGAGATTGAATTTGTTTGGCCCAAACTAAAATGACTTAAGACTGAAGTTATATTTGAGCAATTGAATGCTAGTGTTTAATCACAATAATATCCTTCAAGGTAAATCTGGAAATGGCGTGACTACGCAGGCTGCCAGTGCCTGGAGGGGAATGGGACAGGAGCAGAAGGCGGCCTACAATAGCAGAGCAGCAACCATGAAGCCTGCCGTTCCCCAGGAGATACATGTAAGCGAAGATGCCAGGGAGAGGGAAGTAAGAAAGCTGTACAAGAGGGCAAAGGAAACAGTTGAGTGTTTGTAATATGAAATTTTTTACACTTGGGCTCTCCCTAAGCAATAGATTACTACTAGTCAGGGTTCTCACCAGGATTTGTTACAGCATAGGGGTCACCTAAAGAAGGGCAACTTTCTTTGGCAGGCACTGAGTCCCCAAAACATGACCACAGCAGGTGGTCTGGTATTCTCCAAAAAATTTGTAACTCATAACACCCCAAGACACCATTTCTTATTTCTTGGGGGACAAATTTTGTTTTCCCTTTGTTATAGCTTCACTTTAGATTTATATTTTAATTTTTTTTTGGTAAGATTTATAATATAGGAATTGTCAAGCTTTTATACTGAGGCATTTCACATTTTATATGTTGTGTTCAATTATTACAGCTGAACAAATTGCAGTCTTGTGGTTGCGATGCCTACTTCATGGCTGTAAACCATAACACCAACAAGGCCATGCAGCATGGTACAGATGCTGGGCTGAAGTACATGGCTGAAAAACATCCAGATCTGCTGTGGGAGTTTGGAACATCTGTTTCAGGAGGGGGTAAGTATCATACTACAGGTGGAATCAAGCAAATGTAAGGTTTACCTCAGCCAGGAATGGTTAGGACTAGACAATACATGTTAGTTTTAAACAACATTTAGAGTCAGACGTCCAAAGGCTAGATGTAACAAGTCAATCGGTGTAATGTAACCAGCTGCTGCCACGCCGCGTGCCTACAAAGCTGGTGTGTTACGTCAAAAGGCGGTTATAACGACTATACAAGTACAGATGTTGGTCAGGTATTCAACGTTTCTTTTTAAAACACTTTGGTAATGCTACACATCTGATCCTTAGTGTTAAAATGGAGAAGATAAAGTACTTAAGTGAGCAATCGTGCTGTCATTTTCAGACCAAGATGACACCAAGAAGATGATGCAGGATGAAGTGATGGACCTCTTGACACAGAAGTGGCGTAAGTTGTACTGTACTTCTTTAGCATTTCAGTGTGAAGTAAAGAGAACAAAGTGACAAAATGAAACTGCCCAAGCAATAGCACCACGTGTGTTGTATAGAAGTTACTAGTAGTAGTATACTACATACATATATATTTTACACTGCCAAGTCATGTTAACTGTGAATACCCGGTATA